TTGTTCTGGGTCTTTGATGCCTGATATCTGATCCCATCGACACCTCATGACCACACAGGCTGGTGTGCTTCTTCCATGTGGACTTTGTTGCTTCTCAGCTAGATGGCTGCTTGTTTATCCTCAAGTCTTTAAGACCCCACATGCGATCTCTTTTGATAGCCAGGCACCATCACCTTTATTCACATTTGCTTATGCACCCATTTTGTCTTCAGTGATCATGTCAGGAAGGTGAACATCATGGAATGCCAGGTGATTAGAATAAAGTGTTCTTACGTTGAGGGAGCACTTGAGTAGAGGCCCAATGTGCATCTGCTACCTTAATACTAAACTTATAAATATATGTACATAGATCTATTTCCGTATTGTTATTATAAATATATTTATATATGTACATGCCTATATTTAGATTGCTATAAATGACCTTTGCCTCTTGGTTCTTTCCTCTATTTCCTTTTACTTTCCTCTTATCCTACATCATGTTCTGCCTTCATTCAGGTTTCAATAATTCCTCTCTGTTACATTTCCCTTGATCAGGCCCGACCAGGCCTCCTACACCCTCCTCACCATCAACCCTGGATCACTTGTTGTTCCCTTGTCCCTGGGTTTATTAATACCCACTTCCTTTTCCCACCTCCCTCTTTCCCATGTCCCCCTGGAACCGTTGATCCTGTTGTTTTCTCCTCCAGATTGTTTATCCCACCTATCTTACTTAGATAGATATGCAGAGACAATAATAAGCACACAAAAAAGACAGAGAAAAACAAAACAGCAAAAGAAAACCAAACAATAACAGCAAAAAAAAACCCGACAAAAATAAAGAAATGCCATAAATAGTTCCAGGTCTGTTTGTTGACCTTTTGGAGTGTTTTCCAGTGGAGTCTGATGGGGTGCCATTACCTGGTCCCAAAGTCTATTTTTGGTGTTCCCCAGGGACTTCCTTGCTTTGCTCCCCTGCTGCTCTGTTGCACGTCCTTAGCATTTCACCCTGGTGTGGTGGGGTCAGATAGAGCCTAATCCTGCCCTGTGCCTCCAGTGTTGCCCCTCGATGCACTATGGGTCAGTGAGGGGCGTCGTTGTAGACCTGTTTTGAGCTTTGCTCTCAGTGCTGGTGAGAGGTGGGTGCCTCATGTCTTAAGGCCCTGTCTTTCCTCTGATTCCAGAGCAGCTCTCACACCTCTGTCCTAAGGAATGCCCACACATTGTCTTCCAAGCCGTCTCAGGGCCCCTGGCCGCAGCCACTGCCTCCATCCTCACCAATCCCATGGATGTCATCCGAACCCGTGTGCAGGTGAGACCCACCTTTTCCTCCTCCTTCCTAAGTAAGCATGACCCAGGTCCTGGAGCACTTTGTGACCACCTTGCCTCATGGCCCTAAGCCTGGCCAGCCTGCTCTCGGTCACCCACGTCCCTTCCTGTGGTTGCTGCTGACCCTCTACAGAGACCGCTGGGCAGGGCAAGCACCCAGAATGTCTCTCACACTCTCTGCCGCCTGGCACGCTTTTGCCCCTTTACACACCCCTCCAGAACGCTCACCGCTTTCACGCAGACTCTCCTCTGGCGTCGCCTGTCACCTTTTACAGAGCGACCGGGCAAGCTTCTGCACGTGCCTACTAGAAATACCTCGTTCTGCCCACGTCATACAGCTGCTGTGTCTCCGCAAGGCCTCGAACTCCCACAGCCGGGGGAGTGGCTCTGCTTGAGGAAGCTTCCCAGAGTGCTCCGCGTGGACTCGGGCAGAGCTGTGCTGGTGTTGCCCGAGTTGAGAGCCCCTGCCTTCAGTCAGCGCAAAGGCGTAACGACACTATCACCTGCATCAAGAACATAAAAATTTAGGTGGAAAGAAGGGGGACTTGTCAGGCGTGACTGGAGTAGCGGGGAGACAATGGTGAAAGGGGTGTTGGATGGTGACGTCACTGGGCTATGGCAGGGAGGGGAGGGGAGGGGAGAGAAAACGCTGACACGCACTCCCTGTCCACACCTCCCCATGCTGTAGCAACTTCAGAAGGTGCTCACGTCCACAGCTAAGCATGCCTCCTTCTTCCTCCCTACCCCTTCCTCACAGCCCTCTTCCCTCCTGTCCAGGAAGTTCCCTGACTTGCGATGGGGTTCCCATAACTGTCATAAGTCAGCTCTGACATAAGTCAAATACTTCACTACATTTTTTTTTTCCATTTTCACTATTGCCTTTTATCATCAGTACTTTCTACATCCATCTTTGTCTCGGGTTGGCATGAGAGTGGTCACGTCAGCAAATTGCACGCTGCCACATGGAACGCAGTGCATATTACTGACAGTAGAGGGAAGGAAAAAACAGCAGAGGTCTCAAGTGAAGTTGGTCATAACTCACATGCATCGTAAGTTGGGGGCTTCTTGAACTGTCATCCGGCCACAGCTATGGCTGCGTCCCCTGAGAGTCCGAGGGGGTTGCCCTCTGAGAATGGAGTCTGTTCCATGGTGGGCAGGGGGCTGTTGAGAGAAAAGATGCTGTCTCGGCCAGGCCTCCAGTGGGATGGGGATGGCAAGCCACAGGCATCCTGGGATATGAGGGATGAAGGGGCACGCGCTACGCTGAGGGTCCAGCAGGACTGAGGTGATCACAATCAATATCCTGGATTGAGGCCTCTGAGCCCCTGGAGATTTCATCCCGCCTCCCTGGGGTCAGAAAGAAGCATCCAGTCTGAAGGCTCATAACTCTATGCCTTATCAGTGATCCCGAAAATAAAACCCAAACCCACTGTCATTAGCCGATTCTGACTCATACTGACCCTTATCAATGCAGATAAGGGTCTGCCTTATCAATGATCCGTAGTAGATCATTATAGGAGCAGCTAGCCTCATCTTTCTCCTTTAGATTGGCTGCTGGGTTTGAACTTCCAACCTTGCGTTTAACCAGCACCACCAGGGCTCCAGCTTATCAGTCGTAGCCGACTGTCTGCCAGGCACTGTTTTCAGCATTTATGCGTAGTCTTACGCTTGCGCGTTCTTTTTGTTTATTCGTTCTGGACTGAAAGACACAGAGGCAGAGAGGTTATGGGGCGGGTAGTACCTTAGGGAGCAGGATTCAGACCCAGGCAAGTGGCACCAAAGCCTGTGCGAAGTCCCCGACCCTCAGAAACAACCCAGCCCTCTGGCTCCCAAGTCCAGCTCTTCCCCCGCTGGACGTTGCCTGCCATTCATAGCCCTTTGCTGTGTTGACTTTTCCAGGTTGAGGGCAAGAACTCCATCATCCTGACCTTCAGACAGCTGATGGCAGAGGAGGGGCCTTGGGGCCTCATGAAGGGCCTGTCGGCCAGAATCATCTCCGCCACGCCCTCCACCATCGTCATCGTGGTGGGCTATGAGAGCCTCAAGAAGCTCAGCTTGCGGCCTGAGCTGGTGGATTCGAGACACTGGTAACCCGTGGTGGGGAGAGAAGCCTGCCGTTTCCCACACTACTGGTCTGGGGCAGAGTGAGGAGGATAGCACCCTCTCCGGTGCCCCCAGCACACACCCAGCCCTGCCCTGAGCCAGGTGGCTTGTCTGGGCCCAAGGACAGAGACCGAACTGCTCTTGCTGAAGAGGTTCCAAGCCGGGACCCCCTGTCCCCATGATTTTTAATTCTCTTGCCAAACTGGGCTCCCTCACTCAGTCCCTGTACTCGTTCTCATCCTAAGGAACCCCCCAGCAGCTAGCCCTCCTGGGCTCTTAAGAGCTGTACATAGAGCTTGTTTGCCTCCCCACCCCTCCCTTATGGGCTTACTGTCTGCGCCCTACACAGCGCCATCAGTCCACGGCCCTTCGTCGGGGCAAGGTGCCAGACACTGTACCGGGAGTCCACGTAGCAAAAACGCCAGAGAACATAGCCTCTCTTTCGAGGAATTAATAGGTGGGGGAGAGTGATGGTCCCGTTAGTAACCTCTGTGAAGCAGGCGAGATGCTCTTAGTCTTGCTAAAACACACGCAGGTGGAGCCGACTCCTTCCTCAGACAAATGAAAGCTATTATGCAGCTTTTTTCCTCAGTCCCTGTTCTCTATCCCACACATCCCAGGAGCCCCGGGACAGGATGGCTGCCGGCGGGCACATTAGACCTGGGAAGTCAGGTTGAGAGAATGGTTCGTTTGGGAAGCATCCAGAAGAGAGTATGGCATATCTCCTCCCAGGATACCAGCTGAGCCAAGCCTGGCAGAGAGCGGCAGAGGTTGGCAGCCCCTGGCAGCCTAGACACACACACACACACACACACACACACACACACACACACATACTCATCACTGGGACTCACACGGTAGCAAATGCCGTCTCACTAGGGGGAATCTCGAGATGTGGAGCAGCTTGGGGTTTTCTTTCTCCCTGATGCGAATCGCTATCCTAATCATGGTACCTGTGGGGGACAATAAAGAGTGGGCCAGGAATTCACTTCTACCACGACCAGTGCATCTACCAGCCTGATGCTGCCGAGACTCTCTGTGGATCTCTCCTGGGAGCAGAGCTGGGAGGCAGGCTCTCCCCCTTGCCCAGGTTCCCTCCCCGGCTCCTCCACCCAGCCTGTGCTGCAAGCAGAGTGGGGCAGTGGGCAGAAGGTGGCAGCACTTGGAATCCTAGGTTTCTACTGGAGACATCTGGCCTGGACGAGCCCCCAAGCCTTCTCATTGGTCCCACCCACTGGGCAAGGCCATGGTGCCACTTTGAAAGGTGCTAGCTACCTAAAGCCTGGACACGCCTAAGGCTGCCCTGTATTCATTCTTTCACCCTGGCCAGATCAGAACCCGACAAGTGTATCTGCTTTTACCACCAACACTGCCCATCTTGGTCTGCGTCTCTGAGGGTTCCCCATTATTTTCTCTCTTCCTGCACTTTATCAGGGGAGTCCTCCCATTTCTACCAGGTGGCTATCCAAAGGGTTGGGCTCACAGATCATCCCCAGTCTTCCCACCCGTCACCCTTTTATCCGAAGAACTACCAATATGTAGATTGATTCTCACTTGCCTCCTTCCTCTCTGAGAAACTTACCTTCAGTTCTTCCCCACTGTGGCTGGCGGGTCAAGTATCACTGACAGGGAGCGGCCCGGCCTCTCAAGTCTGAAGGGTGGCGCTCCCATGATTCCGAGTACAGTGCCACAGAGCCTTTGTCTTGTCTTTCTCTCACAATTTAAAGGCTGTTGTGTGGATAATTAAGGCGGCTCCTGGCCCCACCTTTTCGTTGACTACATTTAAGGGATTGGGATTGGGTTTGCTGAAGACATCTGGGGGAGTCCTATCCAGTGGGTGGAAAGTGGACTTCCAGGTCCCCAGAACTGGAGGTCTGGCCAGCTGGACTGTGCTACATTGGTTCCTGGCCAAAACGAACTTTGGGGGCGGGACGGGGCAAGGCAGGCAACCTGATGGGAGTATTGAGGTGGGGGTGGTGAAAATGCAGGCTCATTGAACATTTGATAGACTTGTGAATATTAACTGAGTTTTCGCTGCTGCACTGTACGAAGTCTTCGAAGTGAAATTAAAAGTTTTTACTGAGCCCATGTGCATTGGATTATGCTTATGTCGCCCAAACCGTGGGAAAAGTACGTTGGTCAACGGTCTCCTCTCGGTTTAAACCTTCCGCCTCCAGTTTCCTCTCCCTGGTCCCGCGGAGCCTGGTGATCGACATTTCAGCTTCTCCAATCAGGAGCCGCCAGTGACGGAAGCAGCCAATAGGGGGGCTCGGTGGGCGGGATGACAGGACCAGTGCGATTTGGCGGTTCAGCTTCAACATGGCCGAAGCGAGCGGCAGGGATGCGGGTAGTGGCCGTGAGGAGCGCGCGCCGGAGGGCCTGCCCCCGGACTCGGCGCCACCTGGCACCCCCGTTTCGAGAGTGAAGCTGCTCGACACCATGGTGGACACGTTCCTCCAGAAGCTCGTCGCTGCCGGAAGGTAAAGCGGGGGACCGTGAGCCGGAGTGGGCGTGTTCGGGGCTGGCCCACCGCCCAAGTCTCGCGAGATCAGGGCTAGCGGTCACGTGGGCGGCGGCGGGGCGGGTCCTCGCGCCAGGGCCGCCCGTGGTCGGACCTAAATAGCGTCCGTGGTCTTTACCCACGCGCGCAACGTGTAGCACCTGGGACCCGAACTCTAGACACCAGAGCCGTCGCTGTGGCCTTGACCGATAGACGTGCCCGCCGCCGGTTCCGCAGAGGCGGGTGCGTTTGCACCGCAGCAACCAGCGCGTAACCACCGCACCCCGGAGCTCCTGCACTGGGGACAACGAGCCTTTTTTTTTTTTTTTAATCTACCAATAGGTTTATTTTAAATTAAATTTTTAGTTGGTTGAAAGGAAAGATCACAGGCTTTGAAATTAGATCAGAACTCCAATCCTGGCCGAACTACTGAGGGAGCCAGACGTAACCGCTCTGTGCCTCCACTCCTCATCAGAAGGAAAAACATCAGAGTATTAGCTGCAGCTGCTGTTAGGTGACGTGGAGGCGTTCGGACCCTAGTCATCCTATGCACGACAGATGGAAAGAATGCCCGTCCGTCCTGCGCCGCCCTCACAATTGCTGCTGTACTGGAAGCCCCCTGTGGCAGCGCGTCTGCCCATCGCATTGAGAGTATTCGCTAGCAGTACGCTCATATAGCTAATATTTCTTCCTTACTGGGAGGTTATGAGCTGTAAATGTGTTACCGGAGAAAGGAACACATTTTTTTAATGACCTGCTTTTTGTTGCTTTAAAAAAAATAATTTTATATAAAAGAAATACCTTAATCATTGTGTAACGGTGTTGGGCATTTAAAGGAAAAGTGACACCCGTGATCTCAGCACACCAGTGCAGAAACCCTGAGCCCAGAACTTCAAGAGAGGTGCCAGGGCCACAAAGCGTCTCCATGCACCCCTGTGTCCCACAGCCTCTGTTCTGTGCCCTCATGAAACCTCCCCCCTCCTCCCAACCGCAGTCCCTCCTGTGGCTGGCCTTTACCGCCCTGCATAGATCTATGCGCCTTCTCCTCCCTCGCTGAGTCACTCAGCAAACATTTGCGAGCCTCCTCAGAGCTTTGGTGGACCTGCCAGCTGCTCCCGGGGAGAAAGATGTGGCCGTCAGTTTCCATAAAGATGACAGCCTTGGAAACTCCGGGGCAGTTCTGCCCAAGGGGGTGGTTATGAGTTGGCATGGACTTGACGGTAGTGGGGTATACTTTGTACCAGGCACTGTGTTGGGGTGCTGGGGGAGCCATAGAGCAGATAAAGTCCCTGTCCTCCTGGAGCAGTTATTTATTGGGCAGAGACAGGCTGTGAACAGGAGGCTCCCAGAACTTGGTAAGCTACTGCTTCGTGCCACATAGCCTGAGGGGCAGAGAAACCCTGGCTCGAATAGCCAGGGGAGTCCTCCAGGAGGACTGAGCTGAAGCTTGAAGGCTGAGAGGGGGCCAACGTCCCCGTCCTGTAGGAAGAGTGTATGCACCAAAGGGCATGTGGCTCTGAGGGAGTCAGGATGTTAGAGGAACTGGCAGCAGCCTGCTTAGCTGTAGACCCGGCTGGAGGAGAGGGGAAACCAGTACAGCTCCTCAGGGCCGGGACAGCCTAGGTGTGAGTTTGAAAAAAGAATCGATCATGATTTTTGTGTACATCCTTATCTGTTGAAGCAAGGCCTTGTTTTCTTTTGCCCCCTCCCCTCATGTGCTTGCACCCCTCTACCCACGTCAGGTACCTCCCACTCATGTATTCCCAGTGGGGGTGTTTGTATACCATAATGACAAGGTGGCTGCGCCCGTGGGTTCTCGGGCCAGTGGGAAACACCCATCAGGGTGAGGGACTAGAGAGCCGTGGGGAGAGTATGCGTGAGGAAGCCGTATTTGAATAGGTTTGCATCTTTGTAAAAGATTGGGTTCTCTCTCTGTGTGTTCTTAATTCACGTGGATGTTATTATGAACCATTTTTCAAAAGTCTAACCATAAATGTGAGTGCATATGGTTCCGAACTGCTCGGGCTGCTTGTCATTCCACGTTCTGTGGCCACCACAAACCCAGCCCCTTCCTAGACGCCCGTCCCGCCCTCCTCCACAGATTACACCCCAATGGTGAGTACTCTTGGGCATTCCCTGGACGACAGCCCCGGATTCTCTGAGATGTGCAAGGAAGCCTCAGACAGTTCATGGAGAAATGGAATTCAAAGACAGTAAAACTTGTCCGCAAATAGTTTGAAGGCCGCTCGGGGAGCTGACCTCCACGAGGGGACGCACAAGAAGACTCCTCCAGGCTCAGTCCACCTGGCCAGAGTTCACTCCTCCCTGAATTTTGCCAGATGGTTTTCCAGGGAAGTAGTTTGTTTGTTTGGGGTTTTTTGAGAGTACTTATCCCCTGCGTCCTCACCATCACTGGGCAGCATGCACCATGCTAGTGCTCACCTGACAGGTGTGTGAAAGAGCCAGCTTAGTACCGTTTTCATGGGACGGGCCCTTATTTCCTCACAAACCTACATACTGCCCGTCCAGGTGATCCTGGCTCATCGCAACCTTGTAGGTCCGACTAGATCTGTGCCTTAGGGTTTCTGAGACTAAATCTTCATGAGAGCAGGCAGCCTAGTCTTTCTCCCTTGGAGCACCTGGCGGTTTGAACCACCGACCTTGCCATTAGCAGTCCAGTGCTTCGTCCATGGTGCCACCTGGCCACCTTTGTTCTCGTCAGTGTGGTTATTTCCCGCTGGGCTTGTCAGCCACTTGAGTTTCCTCTTCTGAAAACTGCCTACCCATTTCCTCCAGCCTTTTCTTTCTGACCTCAATTTTAAAATTGCTCTTTCAGTGGGGTTTTTTCATCTTGAGTTCCTAGTATAGTCCGGAAATCAATTCCGTGGCAGTTTTAGACTGAAGCAAATATCCTTTTCTATCAGCTGTTAACTGTCTGCAGTGCTCTTTGAAGAATGCATTTTTTTTTTCAAATTTCTGTAAGAAATTTTATTTATTTCTTTTTTTTTTTTTAAATGTATGTACTTTTATTTATTTATTTATTTATTTAACATTTTATTAGGGGCTCATACAACTGTTATCCCAATCCATACACACATCAATTGTGTAAAGCGCATTTGTACATCGTTTCTCAAAACATTTTCTCTCCATTTAAACCCCCGACATTAGGTCCTCATTTTTCCCCTCCCTCCCCGCTCCCCCCTCCCGCATGCGCCCTTGATAGTTTATAAATTGGTATTTTGTCATATCTTGCCCTGTGAAGAATACATTTTTAAAAAGACCAACACAGATTTATTTTGTTGTATGTTGCCATATTTATTTATTTTTAAATCATTTTATTCGGACTCTTACAGCTCTTATAACAATCCAAACATCAGTTGTAGCAAGCCCGTATGTTGCCATCAACATTTCCAAAACATTTTCTTTCTACTTGAGCCCTTGGTGTCAGCTCCTCTTTTTTTCCCCTCCACCCTCCCACTCTCGTGAACCCTTGATAATTTATAAATTATTTTTATTTTCCTATTTTACACTGTCTGCTCTCTCCCTTCACCCACATTTCTGTTGTTCATCCCCCTGGGGGGAGGTGTTGCATATCAACCATTGAGATTGGTCTCCCCCTTCTCCCCTCACCTTCTCCCTCCCTCCTGGAAGTGCTACTCCCAATACTGGTCCTGAGGGTTTATCTGTCCTGCATTCTGCCAACCCAGATTTTAATTGTTTACAATTGACCCCAAGAAGATGACACAACGGGCCGGCCAAGCTGTATGGATTCTTGTGACTGCTTTTTAAGACTTTGGACCAACCAGCCTTCACACCATCATACTAAATTGCTAACTATTGCCTGATCGATTTAAATTTGTACATCTTTAATTTTCATGTAATTATATGTATTCTTTTTCATCCACCTTATGGTTTGTGCTGGTGGGGTCTTGTTTATAAAGATTATGTACTCCCCACACCTAGATTACAAAGATATTCTTCAATGTTTTTATCATTTTACTTTTGCCCTTAAATCGTTCATTTCTCTGGATTAAAGTTTAAAGTTGTAGTCTCGGTGATCTTTGTTTTCTAGTGTTTTCAGTTATACAGGCAACGATAACAGCTCACAGTCCCGTTGTTTTATAGTAGAGCAAGCCCCTCCCCACACCCTGGGGTCACCCTGGGGTCTCGTTCCTTGCAGTCTCTGTGCCAGTGCTTCTTGCCGGCCATCATGCCCAGCGCTGACTTCTGGCCACCTCATGTGTACTGAATAGGATCACCCAATACGGTTGGTCATCTTGGCTGGAATCTGTACAGAAGCCGGAAGCCAATTGCCAGGAGCAGCCAGGTGGATTGAACTGCCAACCTTTCTGTTACCAGCCAAGCATTTACCCATTACCCTGCCATGGCTCCCTGGAGGCCAGTGCAGGCAGGCCTTCAAACCTTCGCCTGGTGCCGCAAGTCCCCCTCTTTTCTCTTCTCTCTCAAGTGGCTCGGCCATTTGTGGACCTTGGATTTTCCTTTGAAACTGTAGACTGGCTTTGGTTTCTCAGAACATTTGTATGTAATTTGGGTTGGGTTTGTACCAGACTACTACATCCATTTGGGGAACCTGACATCTCTATGATGATGTCATCCAACCACAAACATGATAGAATCTGTTCCTTTTAGTCAGATTGCCTTTCATGTCTCAGGAGCGTTGTCAAGAGCCCTGGTAGCGCCCAGTGGTGAAGCGCTCAGCTTCTGGTCTGAAGCCCCTAGCCGCTTCTCCCACCAGCCACGCCCCGGGAGAAAGCTAGGGCAGTCGGCTTCCAGAAAGATTCCCCTCTCAGCAGCCCCACCGAACAGGTTTGCCCTGCCCTGTAGAGTGGGAATTGACTGGCTGGGAGCAGGGCTTTAAAGTGCTTTTTAGAGAACGTGTGCGTTCTTTGTAGCCTCTTGTTTCTTTTTGAGTTAGTCATCGATAGTTTAGAACATAGGTTCCCAAACTTATTTGGCCTA